ATACGTTTGTTCGGGTTCCGCAGGTGGTTGTTCCGCTTCAGGGCCCGGTTCATTATGTTCCGGAGGTTGTATTTCTGGTCCCGGTACTTCCGGTTCTCCCACTACTGTCTCATGCTCGGACTGACTCTGATCAGGTTGACTGTCAGAGTCTTGTGAGGATTGTGCAGCGTCTGGTTGAGACTCATACGTTTGTTCGGGTTCCGCAGGTGGTTGTTCCGCTTCAGGGCCCGGTTCATTATGTTCCGGAGGTTGTATTTCTGGTCCCGGTACTTCCGGTTCTCCCACTACTGTCTCATGCTCGGACTGACTCTGATCAGGTTGACTGTCAGAGTCTTGTGAGGATTGTGCAGCGTCTGGTTGAGACTCATACGTTTGTTCGGGTTCCGCAGGTGGTTGTTCCGCTTCAGGGCCCGGTTCATTATGTTCCGGAGGTTGTATTTCTGGTCCCGGTACTTCCGGTTCTCCCACTATCGTCTCCGGTTCGAGTTGGTTCGTTTTTGACAAGGTATCCGATGCGGTTTCTGTGTTAGTCTGTTGTGCAGGTATTTGTAAATATTCATGTTGCACAGTTTCTTTATCGCTTTTTTGATTTGATAGCTCCTCGTTTTGTTGTGTTTCCATCGGAGTGTTTTGTTCAGTACCGATGATTGTTATTTCCGGATGCTGAATGTCAATGGGCACTTCGGCTGCGTGACTTTCTGCTCGGATTAGATCTAGGGATGATAGACCTTCGGAGTCCTCCCCAGAATCTTCACTGACCGGTTGCTCCTCATCACTGATCCCCGATTGATCTTGATCTGTGTCCCGTTTCACCCTGATTCTTGGCAAAAAGTTTTCGTTTTCATCTTCTGTTTCAGCATTTAAGTAGCTGCTATCTTGAAGTGCCGTATATTGGTTGTGTACACTACTTTCTTCCAGTTTGTTTTCGTGGGGCGGTATGGGTGTCATGTAAACATTGTTGATCAGGACGGAAAAAACTAAGCCGTAGAAAAGTAACATCTGATCTGCAAAATAAACAAATATTTTAAAGAAAATTCATTGATGCAAAACAAAAAATCAAGTAACTATGAATGTATACACTGTTTACCGTCATGAATCAGACATTCATGTATCGGTTTTCTATGACTAAATAAATATCACAGAACGCTTTCTGCCGTGCGTTTATTTGGTTTACCGAATATTGAAAACCAAGATGGGATTGGGTGATTTGATTCTTAGGCAAGAACCGGTTTCAGTAGCTACCGTAAGGGGAATTGTTTAAAAACCGAAACCTAAATTGTTCAGCTCACTAACATTACACTACACTATCCCTAAACCTATTTAACAGCTTTGTCAATCAGTGATATTATTATCTAAAAGCTGGTCGAAGATTGTTGACAAATTTCATTAAGATTTCTTGGTAAAGTCTTGATACTGCGTGCGATGGGTAATCTACTCGAAGCACAAGAAAACTTCATTCTTTGTCAATGCCAGTACTTCTTCTCAACCGTGTGTGTATGAAACATTCAGTTCGCCATCCACGGTACAAAAACAAAGATGGGTGTGGCTTTAGTGAATAACTGGCTGAATGCAGCCAACTGAAACTACCATGTCCACCGATAACATTTGGTTTACTGGATTTTATTGAGGAACCAATACTATCAGTCAGTAAGTAAAACTATATGAATCAAAATTATTAAATATAACTGGTCTCAACGAAATTTGCTCAGAAGGTTTTCAAAACAAGCAACATAAAATCCCATTCCAGTGCACGTTTTTAATTTTCGGTTTAATTAACAATATGATATGCATTTGATCCATTTGCTGTTTTGTGCATATACATTACCCTAACAACAGATAGCGAATTACTGTTTCACTGTGCTTTTGAAACTGGTTTAAGGAAATAGCACGGGTATATCTGACCGGGTTTGTGGAATAAGTTGGCAACGGCGACTGTATTTCAGCCATAGAAGAGCACAGAAATCCGCCGATAAACTGGCACACAAACTTTCCAGCACAACTCTCTTTTATTGAATAAAAAGGTCTATTATTACGAAACGTTGTTTTATGCAAAACTTCCACGCTGACAGTTGCACGCTTGTAATCGTCGTCATCGTACTTTTGTTCCGAAGTCTGTCAACTTTGACACAACAACAGCAACAACAAACAAAAGAGAGAAGTTACAAACATGAGTGGATTCCTTGACATTCGTGACTTGTGATGCGTAATTGCCCCGGATGTATGTTGACTTTGCCGTTACCCGTGAATACTTGTATGTCTATCGTAAGATTGCAACTGCACAGTTGCATGTCCACCATATTAGTTCGCAGTTCCTCGTCTGCAGATTAATCGATGTTAGTCGATAAATTTGTACTTGTATGTGCAAAATGCGATAATATATTTACGATTTTCATAAACTTTTTTATTTTTTTTTGTTTCTTTATAAAAAGCAGTGTGAATGCAGGCCAGAATTTGCGATTATCTGTGAATTTATTAAATAACGTAATCGTTTAGATTTTGGAACTCAATATCATTTGGACATTGAGTAAGTGAAGTAAACTATTCACCTGAAATTTCATATAAAATAATGAGTCATTTTATGGTACATAATAGTGTGCTGACCGACGAAGAGCACGGAAGATTTGCTTCGACCTTACGGAGACTTCCACCGAACTGGACATGCGACGCCGTCCACGTATACACATGGTAATGGGGATAGAGTTGGAACTTTTTTTGCGTCGCTCAGGCGAGATCATAGACACCAGTACGTGTATTGCTTCTCGGATATATTCTTTGTCTTTCTTCTTAATTTTCCACCGAACGGTAAATATATTCTAGTCTGAGGAATCACGCAACTTTCAGAGTTTGTCACTCATCAAATTAACAATGCACGCGCTTTTGTGATTTCAAATGAGCAAAATAAGATCATTTCTAATTATGGATATTTTTTTACTTTATTGAAAGTTATTCAGTATAACGGTAATGCTACCGATTTAGGGCTGTCTGTGGACACAGAGCAATAGGGCGGATGGTATGAGGATCTTGATACACAAATTATCGATCGACGTTTACACTCAGTATTTGACCCCTCTCAGCCTATGAGAAGGTGAACCGAACTTGAAACAGAAACATCGTGAAGTTATTAAAGTTCTATTGAGATACTGTTGAGCAGACAAGCAGTCATGAATTATGTAATACCTTGTGTGTCATGAATATTGCTTGGAATAAGACACTAATCAAAGTGCAACGTACACAATGCTTCCAGATCTGTTGAGCTGATCTAATCCATAACGTAACTGATTTAAAGTATTTTTTTTAATTTGCNAACGAGTATACAGTTAACGTTCAGGGGGAGGAAGGGTAACCATACAAAGACTACCTTGTGGGAATACAGAAATGAGAAGATAGGCGATGAGGGAGAGATTCAAAAGGAGTACCTCCGAGTCACTATATTGATGATCTTAACCATTTGACCACCGCCGCAATGTATCGGAAGACTGATGTACACCCTCAAATAATGTGAAAACATATGTATATGATTGCACTGGTTTTCCGTAAGGTTGTGGGCTAGCTATCCACGTTTTCGAAACACTGCAGTGAAATGCCGTTTAAAATTAGCTGAAACACTAGTAATCGTAATTCATGACGAGTGGAGATTGGTCCATTCCCACAAGACTATCCACTATTTCACAACAATTCTCATCAGCCTGCACTTATCATGAAGGAAAAGATGAACCGATCGATACAAAAAGCAGATTCAAACGCTAATTTTGAATCCTGCACCAATCAGTTATTTTGATTCTCGAAGAAAGTAGGGTTTATAGGTTTTTCGGATTGCCACTGCAAAAGTGCGCCTGGACTTTCGTTCTCCTCCCTTCTCCCGTGGGATAGAACATAAACGAGTGCATTCCGTTAACAGAATACTGACGACTGTCTTCGGGAAAAATGAAAACTGAAGTTTTGGTTACTATGGTTGCATGTCCGGGTGGTAAATGTAGAAGTTTTTAAAAACAATGCGCTACTGCGTGCGTTTGTCCATTTTATGACCACTGAGTGAGTGGATTAAATAGCAAGTAGCAGGCAAAATCAATAAAATAATATAGCCTTGCCAACTTAAGGTAAACCAATCATTCACGACAAGCCATTATCATAAGCGCGAGTCATCAAATTTGCTCGGCATTATTCGTGACTTATGGAGAGTACTTTTTACATGGATCACACAAAACATCTCTTGCATCTAATGTTTTAATAGAGTCATTGATGTTGAATGCATCAGATTCTTAGCTTCTCTCTTTGCATGAATTCAGAAAATGCAGGATGTTATTCGATGCTTCGATGATTACAGATTGTATCTCATCAGAAATAAAAAGCATTATTCCATTGCCAAATACGTTTTGAACTGTTAAATTGAAGTGTTTTCGAAAAAGTGTAATCGTCTATTGAATAAGAATGCATTTGATTAATATAGCTGTCCCCGGATTTTAGTTATCCACAAACCAAAACTGAAGTGGAGAAAACTAGACGTTTATCCATGTGAGAAAAGAAAGACGATGGATTGTGCTCGTATTTGAAACTTATCCTGGTCATGTCTTGCAACGGGAGGCATGCGAGTGCCAGGAATTGAATCTCAGGTGATTCACTAGCACTGCGATTGTAAACCTGTGTCTATAAATACGGGACACTCATTTAAAAATTTCCTCTGCTGGCAGGCAAATGGATAGTAGGAAAATGATATTCCCCACGTTATGTCAAAATGACGTACTTTCAATTCGACCCACGATTAATGAAACATGGTCCCTGATTTTATTAATGACCAAACAATGATGGAACCGATGTATTCCATTTCATAAAAATCAGTTCTACTTCCCACTAAATGTTGTATGCGAAAAGACAAAACATCACATACATACTAAACAATAATGTTATTGGTATTCTTAACTTATAATAATTATATGCTTTATTGATCAAACGTTTACTTTTGTATTTTATGCCACTGTTTCAAACAAAGACGATTCGGTGGAAACAGCTGATTCCTTACCAATCGGGTTTGGAAATCCGTTAAGTGACTGTTTAGGTGAAATATATTGTTCTGCCCTGAATTCGGAGTTTCACAATTAGGTTTATCAGTCATGAGCATTTTTTTGATACGCCTTAACTTAAGAAATGCAGCTGTCATATTTCATTCCCTTTTATGTTCGTTTGGTGAGTTATTCCATTGAACGTTCGAACTAAACCAAGATATTTTTGTGGTTGAATACTAATTGTATGACGATTGTGGGAAGTTCTATATGTCGATTGTGAAAAGTTCAGTAGCCTCGGTGGGATTCGAATCCACGTATGGACGCCGCCTACGCTTTGTACGCGCACGCTTTACCAGTTGAGCTACGAGGCCACACCGATAGCGCTTCTCTTTTCACAGTCGAATTACCCATCCAACTTACAAAGGCATATGACACCCACCATTTCGTATGTAAGCTGATTACCCCGAATCACACCGAAGCTACTCAACGTTTCACAATTGCCATACAAACTTCAAATCTGCCAAACAGCAATTTGAATATATACTATTTAACAAACAGCGTTTCATTCTATATGATCCAAGGAGGTATAAGCTATCGAAAATACCCGAAGATCGTTTACTCAAGTCCCAACTCAAAAGCTCAACTTATCACATCTCTGTGTTATTACTTTTTAATATATTTTAAAATAAATTGCAGCCTATTCCGAAAACCGACTGCACTATTGCCCATACAGCAGACTGAAAGGTTAGTCAAATTATATACAAGATCTTCATTAGGTTACTCCACAAAAAATGGTAGTGCGATTTCGGGGGATATATTTTGGCAAACGTAAGCACACAACCCACAACCTGTTGACTTCTACCGTCTAGATGACACATAGAGAAACGCGGTGAAACATGCTGCGAATTTTAGAACGACTTCGTTCGTATGTTGAGATAAGAGATGTTA